CCCCCAGCCGCCAGGACCCCCAATCAGCGGGGCCCAACACGGGTGTCCAACCTGTCCAGCTGGCAGCCTGTCCAGCTTGCTTGGGTGTCCAACCAAGTCCAGCCTCTCCAGCTGGCGAAGGCCGGCAAGAGCTGGATGGACGGGGATCCCGTGGAGTGTCGGCCCTTTGAGGTAGTCCAGACAAGAAGCCCCAACCACAAGTACTAACGCTACCTTTATTGTAAGGTTAGAGTAGCAGAATCTTGCAAGTCTGGAAGTACCTCTCCCCTCTTTTCCTTTTACTCTCTGGAAAACTAGGGGGGTCCCTTCTGAAATGCCTCCCACGCCCTTTGGTTTCGGTGGGCTGAGATGCTTTTTGCATGACGGCTGTCCAGGCTGCGGCTCTTCCTCCTGTCCCCCAAGGCCATTCCCACAGCCCAGTACGTGGAGGTAGATCTCTTTTTAAGAAAAATGTCCTCTTCCTCCTCCTCCGCAGCACACTGCTGAGCGATGAAGAAAACCGGAAACTTTTTGGGAAATGTAACAACCCTAATGGCCACGGCCACAACTACAAAGGTGAGAAGGGTTGGCCTCTGTCTTTGCGGTCAGCGTTAAGCCCAGAGAAGCCTGAGAGAAGAAAGGCTTGTGCTTGTGGGTGACTTAAACTGCCTCAATCTGATGTCCCATCATCATCCACAGAGCTCTCCCACCCCAGTGTCCTTCATCCTGTGAAAACGGCACTCCTGGAACAGACTTTTTATGTGTGCGTGAGTGTGTGCAATTATTTGCACACTTGCTGAAGCCCACTAGCTTTTATATATTGCTTTCAAAACACCGCCAGTTATGAATCTGCATATGGCAATGTACAGGCATTACCACTTAACTGCAGCAGAAATAATATTTGAACAATTTTGTTCCATTGGCTAGCAAATACTTACAGGTAGTCCTTGCTGAATGACCGCTTGTTCAGTGGCCACTTGAAATTACCACGGCGGTGAATGAGGGGGACCTACAATGGGTCCTCATAGTTGCGGCTGTCGCAGCGTCCCTGTGGTCACATGATAGCAGTTTGGGCGCTTGGTATCCCGCAGTCAGGTGATTGCGATTTGCAACCTTCATTGCTGACTTCTGACAAGCAAAGTCAGTGGGGAAGCCGGCAGGAGGTTGCAAATAGTGATCATGTAACCATAGGATGGTGCGACTGCATGGGATTCACCTAACAATGGCAAATGGGACTGCCACAATGGCTGTTGTAAGTTGGCACAGTTATGTGACATCACATTTTATGACTGTGTCGCTTAGCTATGGAGTTCCTGGTCCCAATTACCGTTGGTAAGCGAGGAGTACCTGTACTTGTTTTTATATTTTTATTAACATAATGGAATACAATGGGAAAGCAAGAAGCTTTCTTGAACTCCTGACTGAAGCTATCTGTGTTGCATATGTATTTATCTCCTTAGCTGATTATCTTAATGTGAAATCCACATCATGACCTGATATTTTCTTCTTGCTCCTTTTCATTTCTTCTAGTGGAAGTAACTGTGCAAGGAGAGGTAAGTGAAATATTTTCAGATTTTAAACATCTTTTGGATTCTGAAGCAACAATATACTTGGGGCTGTTGGGGCTCTCTGAGCCTGGTGGTTTTCTTGCAGATGTTTCATTGCCAGCTAGGTACCTAGAACACTGATGATGTTACAGTTCAGCCCTAAGCTACGATATTCTCTTCTGTTGGAACAATATACTTCTCAATGGGTTTTAAGCAGACTTCGCTTTGTGGCATTTTACGAAATCTTAACCAAGTTATCTTCACATAATGTGGTTTACCAATTTAGACTAGAAGGAAGTTGTTTTCTGCTAGTGCTAGCATTGAAGGCAGGAAAAAAATTATTTCTCTCTCCATTGGAAGGTATTTCTGAATATAGGTTCCTCAGTTCACAGCATGCACAGCTCCATCTGTGTGGCACACCCTGCTTTTCCCCCCTTTTTTATCAGATGTGATGCTACTCTGACCATACGGCAGGTCCAAGTTCAATCCACATTATCTCCCTGGAAGAATTTTAAGTGCTGGATGTTGAGAAAGACATCATTCTGAGGCCCTGCTACCATTTAGTCAGAGCTGGGCGAAATGGAGCCTCTCTTTAGGGTAACAAGATACAATAATCATGTTCTGATAAAAACCAGTTTCATCTTAGAAGATCTGAGGAAGTTGCAAGGAAAACAAATTACCAATTTCCTTTCTAATTTGACCAAGGCTGCTGGGAATTGGACTAAGGACTATGTACACCTCCCTGTGGGCTGGATGGAAAACAGGAGGAAATGTCATGGGCAGTTTGAGTTTTCCTATCCTTTTGGCAGAAAACTTCAGATAGGTGCTCCCTCACACTCTCTTAAAAAAAACGAACCCCAGGTATTAATTATGGATCTCTTAAACCCAACTGTAGTGTGGAGTGGATATCGTTTTATCAGGTCAGTCTGGAAAAAGAGTAGCTGTGCCTAAGGAACTGCTGGTAGTCTCCTTTGCATGGGACTCTGATCTGCCACGTCAGAGTAATGCTAGATCCTGCTCAACAGACTAATGAAGGAGCTGCAGAGACTTCTAGACAATTCTGCAGGACTGTATGAAGTCATGTCCCTTTTGTATTTTCTTTCTAGATCGATCCTCTTACAGGGATGGTGATCAACCTTACAGATCTCAATGCCTACATGGAGGTAATGAAGCTCTTTTCATCACAGAGATTGCCAGCAGAGATGAACCACGCTCATGAGCTTCACAAGGAATAGGCCTTGACAAGACAGTCTGTGATGTAATGCGGGGATCGGTGCACACGAGGAAGTGCTGAGTGCAGCTTGAAGACTTTAGCTTCTTGTGGATGGAGGATAAGAAGCAAGAGGATGCCATAGCAGGGGCTGGAGGCAGACCATTTACTTGTCTCCTACGATCTTACTGGTGGGTGGAGAGGAGGAATTTTCGCCATAGCAGACGGCACTCAGTGGAAGGCTACACATTTATTTACTCTCCCTTCTCTGCAAAAATGGTGGAGGAGCTCTTGACTCACGCAGTCAAATATTTGTCTTCCATTTTGCCATGTGAGACAGGTCTCCAGCAAGTCCAATTAATTCCAGAGTGTCTTTCATGGGTCTAAATGCCTAATCTCTCTGTCCTCTAGGAAGCCATAATGGAACCTCTTGACCACAAGAATCTGGATAAAGACGTCCCCTACTTTGCAGATGTTGTCAGGTAGGTGACTCTCTATTCCCTGCCCTGTGCAGGCCTGCTTTCTAATCCTGAACTTGGGGTGCAAGAGTGCTTTTGTGTTTTCTTTTTATAAGACCCTAGATTGCTTAAATTCTTTGGGGAAATTTAACGTTACAGCAGGAGGAAAGAGCCTGTCAAAGGTTGCTCCAATTTCTTCCTGCCATTTTTTAACTTTCTGGAAAGACTGCCTGCTTGCTTAGGAGATTTCCCCTGCCGGTGGCAAGGAGGTCTAGAAACTTGTTTCTTAAAGTCAATATTCTGCCCGGTTGGGGAAATCAAGACTGAATGTGTTTTGTTCTGCTGGGCCACACAGTCCCAACTGGATGATCTTTAAGGTGTGTTGGGGATAGCAGTTAGAATTCCAGGCCAACACAAACAAGCAGTCTCAACGATGTCGTTGTGCAGGAATCTGCAGAAGGAAACACCATAGCAGCAGAAGCAGCTTTTCTCTCCGGTGCAGCCATGGTGCAGGTGATAAAAATATAACTAGAAAGGCAGAGTAACTAATTCTCGGGTTTTTTCCCCCCCAGTACCACTGAAAACGTTGCTGTGTTCATCTGGGAAAATCTCCAGAAGTGCCTTCCCAGGGGGACCCTTTATAAAGTCAAAGTATATGAAACCGATAAGAACATTGTTGTTTACAAGGGAGAGGGGGCTCTTCCTGAGAAGTGAGATATTTGTTTATTGTTGCCTTTGTTCTGCTCTCAGAGAACAACTAGTCAGTCAGTCTGTCAATCCATCAACCAGTGCATTGTTGAACTTGTGAGCGTAGGCGTTCATCTCTTTGTTAAAGAATCGTTTGAGCGAGTGGATATGAAGCAGATGTTCTGTGCAGCCTGGTGGTGTAAAAGTTTCCTGCTGTTCAAGCACTCAGTTTGATCAGGGCAAGAAAGATACTGATTCTTTCTCCATTAGAGTTTGCTCCTATTTCAAAACGTGAAAATTACTGCTTTCTTAGTGATAAGAATAAATCCCAAGATCCAGGGCTTATTTGGGTACAGTAGTGGGTTTTCCTGGTCTCAAGTGGGTTGTTTCCCCAACTACCTGATTCTTTTAACTGGAGAGGCTGAAGACTGGACTTGCCGCATGTGGAACTTGGTGCATAATTAAGCCGTTATGGCCTGTTCCCATTACTCTTTTATGCAAGAATGTTAGCTAAGCAGCAGAGGTCCTGCTTCAGCTCTCAGTTCTCCCACAGACTCAGTAAACATCCCTCAGCAAGTGTTTTTTCAGCTTCATCCTGGGTTGGCCTTGATGTGCGGCAGTGATTTTACCCCACTTTTAAAAAGTAAAGATGTTCTCAACTCCTGCTGAGTGCATAGATGTGTCCACGTTGTTTTTTGGAAGCAGTACAGAAGATGTGTGCCCTTGCCTTCTGGTTGTTCTTTTGACTTCTAATCCAGCCAACAATCCTGGGGTTTCCTGGCAATCTCTCACTGAAGTATTAGCCAGGTCTGACTAATTTTGGTGGAGGGGAAGAGTCACCATCGACCTGAAGCAGTCACCTTCTGTAGACTTACAGTATTATTGAATATGTAAAGCCTGCCTAATCAAGTGATGTGTAAACATTATGGATGAATGTGATTTCCACTGAGATTTAATTTTCCTTGGTCAGTTGTCATTAAATGCTATATTTGCACCTGAATTTTGATTTGTCTTCTTTTAAACAAAGCTGGAGTCATAGCTGCAAAATATGGTGACAGCCATATAGGACTTTAGATCGGTCTTCCTCAACACCCATCATTCTGTTAGCTAGCATAGCTGGAGGATTGTCATTGCTGTACATTTAATGTTATTGCTCCATTGCAAAACATTCTGTTTCAAGTGTTGGGACCGTGTGATCTGGAAAATTTCTGCTCCTCAGCTGCCTGTGCAGCAGCCCACAAGGAACAAACAGCAATTTAGAAACCAGGCCCTCACTTGACCCAATTGAAAAAGGGCCTGATGCTGGCAAGATCCCCGTGGGTTGCATAATGAGAAGAATGACTTTAAAAACAAGTTTTAAAAAAACCCCACAAAATGTTCTGATTATTTAATCATACCATAAAAACTGTGGGATAATCATGCATTTTTTCTGTTCCTGCAGCATCTTGCTCTCCCTCACACTACAACGTGTGCTCCCTGACTTGTGATCCTGTCCTGATGGTTGCCTTTACGTTCTCTTTTATATATTTTTATTAAAGTTTTTGAATACAGTAAAAGTCAAAGAGAAAAATAAAAAAAGAAAAGAAGAAAAAACATTAGTGAAGAAAAAAGAAATTATAGAAATACGATTTCCGCCCTTCTTTCTATCAAGTAGTTGCCATCTTACTGTTTCCCCTCCTTCTTTTTTCTTCTTCTTACCTTGTCTTCCTCCCTTTTAACCCTTTTTTCTTTTCCCCCCAATCTTTTTCCATATCATCAATTCAGTCTTTTCTCCTTTCAACAAAAGTCTATATAAGGTTTCCAGTCTTTCAAAAGGTCGTGAGGTCTTCTGAGACACAGTCAGAAGAAGAAGAGGAGAAACAGCAACAAGGAAAGGAGGTAGAGGAAGTTATTACAGCATTAGAGCTACAGTTATGGACTTTTCAAAACTTAAAACATAGACATGGGGTTTAAAAGCATAACTTGAAATATAAATGGTTTGAACTTCTCACCAATATGAAAAGTGTTTCATTACTTGACATATTTACAAGAAATACATATAAAAAAAGAAAAACTATTGTGTATGATGAACTTGTGAAAATATGATTACATCAGAATTGTTTTGTTGGGACTTATGGACATTGAACTAGAAAAGGAATATGGGGAATTAATATTACATGGGGTAACTGCAGCAAGATGGCTGTATGTACAAAGTTGGAAGAATAATGAAATATCCATAATGGAAGATTGCATTATAAAACTGATGGAACTGGTGGGAATGGTGAAGCTGACCTGCCTGGTCAGGGGAAAAATGATAAAGGCCTTTCCGTTCTCCTGTCTGGCAGTGTCCTTGGATTAGTGATCTCACTGCAGACCGCCAGCCTGATGGCAGTCTGAGTGGCGTCAGGCAGCATAAAACTGAGCGGCAACATCTTGGAATTACCCTTGCATAAATGTTGTGACGTGCACCACAGTTAAAAACATCAATATAGAAGAAATATGACAATAAAAGCCAGTAATAAAATGCTTTATAAGCAGCTGCATTCCATTGCATCATAAACCATGACAAAGACCAGAGTTAAAATACGTCCTGAGATTACATGGTTATTGTAGGGAGTAATCACATGCCTGCTTGCAAACTCCAAAGCCGCCTTTGCTCGGAAGACCCAAAAGCTTTAATGATGAAGACTGAGGAGGAGGCAGGAGGGGTCTTGCTGGGCATGGAATTCCAAGGGGTGCTGCAGCGACTGTAAGGGCTGACGCACTCCAAAAAGTGCCTGAGAATCGGTGATGACAACGCAGGCACTGATAAAAGCTTTGAAATGAAAAGGGCCTTTGGGGCAGGACCCTAACAGCGTTGTGCCGTAAGGAGGTGTAAATGTGTGCAACTGACGTAAGTGCATATTCTACACTTGACTATGCTTCCATTTCCCTCTTTCTGTTGTCACCCCGTATCAGATTCTGGATTACATGCCCATTGGGACCGGGACCCGTATCCTGGCTGCCGTACCCTTCCTCAAAAAGCATTGCGGATGACCAGTTATCTCCCACTGACTTGAAGCTTATGGGTGTTCTTTGAGCGGTCAAGGCAGGACTGCATGTCCAACCCTGCCCTGTCATGGATGGCTTCGGACAGGTCTTTCAACAAACTGGTTGTTCCTTTGCAAAAGCTGCTTTTGTGGGGCGGACGGAGTAATTTCCCTCACTGAGAGGATCTGGCCTGAGAAACCTGCTTCTGATGAGTCATATTGCAAACAGGGAGGCTATGAGAATCCTGTTTTATGGGAGGATAAGCACTAAAGATCAATTTGCTTCCTGAAGTAATTTTATTGTGTATGCTTTACGAAGGGAAAAAAACCCCTATCGTTCATTTTGTTTAGGCTGAGATGGAACAAAATCTCATTAGCATGGTACAAAGAAGGAGTTGGTCAGCCATCTAGCGTTGGACAATGGTTATCAGGACATGAAAGAAAGACCTGCCATGTGGGGGTGAGCATGGCTCTATGTGCATAATAAAGCAGAGCTGTGTGGCTAAGCAATGCATTATGTGACTGAATCTGCAGAAATGCCGGGGAAATAGTCTTTTGCCCAGTTCCCTTGGAATTCGTAAGCTTAATTGCCCATCATATGGTTGGTGTTCAGTTTTGTTTATTCAATGACCCTCTGCAAAACCTCTGCTAATAATCCTGGAATTGTAAAACTGCCCAGTTAAATGTGCAGGATAGGCATCTTCATTAAAGAAGATCCATTACAGAATCTTACCAAGATGAGGCAAGTTCCACCTCACCTCGCACAACGCTTTGCAGCCGAGTGGGTCTAAATGCTCCGCGGCCAGCCATCAAGCATGGGACGCGCATGCACAGAATTGCCTTAGCAAAAGCAGCTGCTGTGTTCCTTGCAGCAGAAAGTTGAACTCGGTGGTGTCTTTGCAGGGTTGCCAGGGAGCGCTGAATGCCGCTTCCCTTCTGTGGCAGTCTCACTGTCAGACAGAACAGACTTATTTACGGTCACGGGAGGGAGGAGACGGTCTCGCACTCAAACTGACGCCCTGCTTTCCCACCTGCGCTCCCTGCTTTTCATTCGTAAGAGGGGTTTTAGTTGCCCTTAAAAACAACAAAGTTTGTGTCCGACTCATAGATCTTCACTTTGTACAGGCATCCCGATGGAAGGATTTTTTCCAGACTGCTCCAGATGAACATGGCTAGATTCTCTGTCGAGCTGAAGGAAGAGCAGAAGGATGGAGGAGAAAAGGGAGGTCAGAAGATATTCAAACGGGGCAGCGTTAACTATCGGTTTCTCTATGCCCCTCCTGTTGCTTTTGGGCGGGGTTTGGCCAAGGACATCAGATCAGCTTTCCCCCAAAGATGGTACCCTGCGGATGTGGGTGGATGGCCACTGCTACATTTTCCTAGCCAACTCATCTGTTCCAGCCACTACCTTGTAACACTGGCAAAATAATCCACATCCTGGTCCAGGTTCTTGTGGTCAAGAGACTCAGTGATGGCCACCTGAAGACAAAAGCAGAAGCGGTTTGTGTCTTTTTTTCCAAGATGGGGATTTTCTATCTTCAGAGGTATTAGGCCCAGGATATTAAGGCATGGGGAAAGGAGAAGAATAGAAGCCTGGCTGTCAGGCTCATGTTTTGCTCACTGACTTTCAAAAAGCCAGCTATCTTAAAATGTGCCTTGCCTGTGATAACAAGCGGATGCTCCTGCGCACAGACAGACAAACTGAGCCCTGCCCTTCTCTCTCCACCTTATCAGACGCTTTTGACAGAAGCGTGCAAAAACGTTTCACTCTGACATTACCTGCATGTATTCCTGAAGTTTGTAAATGTTCATGAGCATGCCGCTGATGGGATCAATCTGCAAGGAAAGTTTTTCTTTTAACATTTATTTGCTCCTGCCAGATAGATCCATGGGGATACCAGAAGCATGGGAGCAAACCCTAAAGAAACCGGAGCACACGCATGAAGGGCAGCGTCTCTCAGAGAGTGGGAGCCATGCAGCTGACCGGGCCTTCTTTCTAACTGCCTTTCACTTTCACTCCCAGATGAATACCTAGAGCAGTGTTGTCCAAACTTGGCCACTTTAAGATGAGTGGACTTCAACTTCCCATGCTGGCTG